TCATACCAGCATTTACACTGTTCTCCCATTCTATGTAAGAGAGGGACATGAATTACATGAAAACAGGTGATTTTGAAGGAAAGGGCAGGTTGCATACCTGGGGAGAATCTTTTGAATACATTTGTTTTTACCCGACAATTCCATCTTACATGTGGATTTCTTTGTACAAATGACTATTTTCTGCATAGTTTGTTCTCTCTGAGAATTGGGAAGCTCATGTTTAATCCCATCATGTTTGTTCTAGAAGGATATATTATATATTTTACCCTTGGAAATCGCCACTGGACACTGGCTCACTCCTACTCCTTCTTTACCCTCAGTCCAGGTGTCTCCTGCCCCAGCCCCCACACTGGCCCCATCACTCCTGGGGCTCCAGCCTCCAGCCAGGTAAATTTAGGTCTTGCTCCCCTAGGCTCAGGTTACTTTCTGTGTAGCTTCTCTCACTGGTCCTGAGGGCCGAGACTGTCTTTCATTCACTTATCCTGAAGGTCTATATCATAGACGGCTAAAGTAATAGATGATTCTTTGATTATAGTTGAAAGAAATCATGGGCAATTAAAATCACACACACTATTTTTCACCTTTTAGATGTTTAGGCAGCATATATTGACTTCTTCTAGAATGCAAGTCTGCATGCAAAGGAGAATCACCAAGGAGGACTTCTGCAAAGACCTCTTCCCAACTTCCAGAAAGCTTGGCGCTGCAGTCAGACTCATAAAGAGGCACATGCGCTAGTTTTGAATACATTTCTCTAAACCTCAGATGCAGGGAATGGGGTACTTTGAAGATGTGACCTGGGCTCCATGTCAGGATATATAGCTTTGGGGGAGGCTGCTCAGGGGCTCATGGAAACCACTGTCGTCGGCATTTTCTGAGAAGTCCTCTAGGTGACCATGACAACCACAGGGACATCTTGGACTGCTTGGACATTCGCTAGAACACTTCCTGGCTGACCGCCGCATGGTGTCATCATTTTCTGGTTTCCTGAATCACAGCATAGATTTATGTGGTGAGCAGGACAGAGACACGCCTTTGGCAGTAAGTCTGATACTGAGAAAGCTTGGAGGAAACCCTCCACTTTCTCATGCGGGCTCCCACCCTGCCAAGGGTGAGGTCTCACCAGACTCCTGCCTGGCAGCCTCGCTGCACTTGTTTCACAGCATCAGCACTAACTTGAATTTACCACAAGGAGTAGCTTAACAGGCCAGGAAGAGCAATAGGGTCCCCGTTCTTCTGTCTGTCTGAGAGTATATCAACGTTTATACTGGGCCCAGTTTCAGAGAAGACCTAATTCTTTCACTCACTCATTTATTCATTCATGCACTCAGCCAGTATTTATTGAAATCCGATTACAGTAGACAGAATAATGCCCCCCCCCCGCCCAAATTTCCATGTCCTAATCCCTGGAACCTGTAACTATGTCATCCTGCATGGCAAAAGGCCCTTTGCAGGTGTAATTAAGTCCAGATTCCTGAGATGCAGACATTACCCCGGATTATGACGTGGGCCCAGTATAAGCACCAGCGTCCCCATATGAGAAAGGCAGGAGGGTCAGAGTCAGAGGAGACGTGACGAGGGGAACAGTCAGAGTCGTGCGGCCGGGAGCTTAGGAAGGCAGCCAGACTCTAGAAACTTGAGTCTATCTTGGGAACTGGAAATTATTATGTACCCTTGAGAAACAAGGTACTATAGAAATATGAACAATAAAATAAAAATAAGTTTATGGCTGTTTCCTCTGTCAGGGTTTGTATGGATTTTCCCTTTGTTTTAATGACTTCTAGAATCAGTTGTGACATATGCTGAGAAAATTTTTGACCCAGAGGAAAATCATTATAATCTAATTTTATAGCATTTTCCTCCACGATATCAGTAACATTCCCTCCCTAGAAAAATCGGGTGAAATGCATATTGAGACAAGTAAATCTATCCGATAAATCATTTCACAGATGAGAAAGAAACCATGTGTGAAATGAAAGTTAGATGTTTTCAGAACCACTTCACTTGAGGAGAGGACCCTAATCAATATGTGGTGTTCCTCATAATGAAAGAAACAGCGGGAGGGAGAAACGTTTATGGTCGGGGGTCATCCTGCCTGGCAGTGTATTCTCGTCCTGTTGAGTTCCCTGGAGATTAGAGTAAGAGGGCCTGTTTCAGCTGAATCCCCACATGCCTTTAAGGGCTGAGGGAAAAACCAGTGGGCTCAGGTTCCCCAGACAAGCAAAACCTTCACTGCAGCATCAACCTGTCCAGGTTAAACCAGAATGCCTAATACATATCTTAAAATTCTTAACAAACCTTTCATGCATTTATTTGATATTTAATTATTACTATATGAATATTAAAATTATATGTTTGCATTTATACAAGGTGAGACAACTTAATAACACCACCTTCTATTTTTCAAGTATGCAAAAAAAATCCCCATATTTAAATAAATCTTATTCTTCCACATCACTGTGAATGTCTTTGAAAATAACTTTTTTGGAATTATTTTCAAGAGCTAGTTTTAGAAACAGAAAGGAAATCGATTTGTCAAAATCATCTCTCTCTCTCTGTGCACGCGTGCACACACACACATCAACAAGGGACAGTTATTAAATGTTAGTGTTAGTTTATGATCTTCCAAGTATTTTGATACAAAATTATGAAAATCCCGTTTTGCCTCACCGACAGGAGGCTCTGAATTGAACGGGAAGGTCAGCTCTGATAATAAGTGGGCGTTCACAGCCCGGATACGTGGAGAGTTTTTCTCCATACTTTTGTTTTTTTCTATATTTTTCCAGATAGAGGCTTTTCATCTCTTTGGTATTTCTCACGATCTTATCAAGTAGACTATTGCTGCATGACATCTCAGTTCTGTTTAGGAAACAAAGATTATAAACGTTTAATGTGCGATGCTCAGAGTGAAACAGGGGAAGGGAGGAATTAATGAACCACCTGCACTTGCATTTCTTCAAAACGGCGCTTGCCCCCGACAGGGCTGAGTAACCCCTGTCCTCCATTTCTTCTCTCATCTGACTCTCAGACTGTTCCCTAAGTCTGCCCCCCCAATAGTCTAGAGGAAATTTGTCCTCAATAACTAGGCCAAGATCCAGTAGAAACTTTGAAGAGAAACATTTTTTGTAATTTATTTGGTGCAGACGTTTTGGGAATACAAAAATGCGCTTGGTAAAATACGTACATAAATTAGAACTGTTGTCTGAATTTGGCACTGGTTCTTGTATTATCTCTATGAATTCCGTTTCTTTTTATTCTCCCTATAATGACAGCTCTACAAACAATAAAGTCATTTTCTACGAAGTAATTATTGTTCCGAAGCATTTCTGAAGCCTGTGCAACTGCTTAATTGTCACTCGCTCATAAGAGATACTCAACAAATGTTGGAGAATTGATCAGCAATGATCTCTGAAAGTGTTTTTTAAAACACGATGATGGTAAAGCTCGTTACTTCTTGAAGTTTCAGATTTGCTCGTTTTTCACATTTCTTCTTCACCAAGGGCACAGCATGAGAGGTGGTCCATGACTTCGCCGAGGGGAGGGAGCAAACGAGACAGGACAGCTGAAGGGAGCGCCAGAGGCTGAGCCCGCCCCCCACAAACTGCCCCACGGTGGCACCTGGATGAGACTGGCAGCCCCGCGGTGTCCCAGGGAACAGGTGCAGCACTGCCCTCTCTGCTCCCACAGAACTGTGCTGAGAACAGAGTGCCCAGATCCGGGGCATTTCACCCGAGGCCCCCCCACCAAGGCTTAGCCCCAGAGTAGCAAAGAACCTCCGCCCGGGTGCACAAAGCAACAGAAAAAGATCACGAGGACCCACAGCTCTCTCTGGAAACCAATCACGAGGCTTCCTTGACACAGTTTCACAGCTAGTGCTTCTTTTGAACACCTCAGAAAACCGGGAATCAGGAAGGTTAACACAGCTAAGATCTCAAGCGTGGACGTGATGGATCAGGGTTTGAACCCAGCGCATCCTCTCACATCTATGGGCTACACCATGACATGTTTTCCCCCCAGAGTGCCACGACAGCACACGAGTTCTGCAACCTGTAATTACTTGTAATCTCCCCAAATTCTTGCTAATGCTTTAGCTTCGAACAAACCAAGCTCTGTCTATGGAATGGGGATGCACTCCTCTCTGAACGTCCACTGTCTCTCCTCGCCTTCTGTTCCAAGTGCTACTTATCAGGAACCACGTTCTTTCTGTTTCTTCTCAGAATGGTCCCTTAATATCTCTGATACGTCCACAGCATCCAAATTTGATAATACTCAGACCACCTCGCTCAGCAGCGCTGGTGTCCAAGCTTCTCTGCTCTGCCCTTCTACGGAGCTAGGCAGCTTTTATCGCTTGCTGTGTTTTATGGGTTTCTCCAGACCATGTATATTCACTGTGTTATATAAATAATAACGTTGCACTGATATATTAGGCAGTGGTATTTAGTTTAGGTGGTAAATTTTCAAAGGGGTGAATATGGTTTTCCATAAGAACTGAAGGAAGCTGTGACATTGAATCTGCAGAGTGAGAAGATGATTAGTGAATTTACCTTAACGATCGATCTGCTTTGCAGCAATGAATCACGTTTATGGATCTGCTTACCAAGCAACACAGAGTCAGGCTGGACACTGCTACAAAGGAGCCTAAGCGTCAATGCTAGCTAGCTGAAGCTTTACCACAATCTACTAAACTTGGATAATTTAAAACACAATCACCTTTCCAATGTCAGCACTTAAATTTTTTTTCCTATACAAAAGTTATACTTGATTATTTTAAAGAAACTTATAAGTAGTAGATTTCATTCTAAGAAAAAGAAAGATTATGAAAGAAATGTTTCAAAACATCACTGCAAAATATGACAATGTAAGAAACACAATTTGGTAAAGTTACAAATGTCTGGAGAGTAAATTGTACCTGTGGTAAAGGTGCGCCCCGCTCCTTCTAGGATGAAGATTCACGCACACCTGCACGTTTTCCACTGGGAAGGTCAGAGGGGGCGTTCCCTTACCTGCTGTGGATCTGATGGTGGAGGTGATGTCGGAGGGCGTCATCGCGGGAATGCATTCATCATCTTGGGAGTAACCAGCTTGAATGGCTCGAAGGTAACTGTGACTCCTCGTCCGGAAGCAGCCGGGGAGGTCCAGGGCGTCCATGGCCTGAGATTCGACCTCACTAAAGACCGATTCACACACCGACTCGAACTGCCCGTTGATCTCGGCTTCACTCATCTAGAACAACCAACAGCACAGTTGATGGCAGGATCCAGCCAGTGTGATCACGGCCATGTTACGATAGAATGAGAGAGGACAAAATTCACCCCGATCTTCACTTACAGTCTTATATTTTCAGCACAGTTAGATTGAATCAGCATTGGGAATCTGCCAAGCTTGCAAAATAGCTTATTAGGTTACTACTTAACAAAACACTAAGGTAAACTGCCAATTCCAAGATGCCCTTGAAATCCTATGGATCCCCCCAAGGCAAAGCTTTAAAGGACAGCTGGCAGTTACGACTAAGGTTAAGAGAGACAATGTGTTTAAAAGTTGAGCACCGTACCTAGTACAAAGTAAGTGTTCAAAATGTTAGTCCTTCCCTCTTCCCGTGTTTTCCAAAAGCCTCCTTCACCTTCCCAGGCTGCGTACAGCCAGGCAGCTCTGGGGGTTGAGGGAGTGCGTGAACACACACTGAAGTAGTAGAAGGTACTCTAGTCCGTTTCTACTCATTGCCCTGGAAACTAACCACAAATGTGTCAATAAGCCATATCCTTCTCCCCAGGAAGCAGCATAATCCCAGGTCCAGATGAGAGAGAAATGGCTGGACGGGTGTTTCTGTCCACACACAACAAGTTGCATCACCTACATTCCAGTTTTGTTCTTTTTCTTCTTCAGCCTGGGTTATTAGTGCATTCACTTCATTTGATAGTTTAGCAGGTAAAGCAATTATTTTCAAGCTTGCGATTTAATTTCCAGGTATAGAGTCAACTTGGGAACCTAAAAGTTCCAATTATATTTAAAAAAAAATTATCAAGGCTTCGGATACCGGGGGATCTCAAGTGACCTGCACACACAGGCTTGACCGCCAGGTGAGTGGAAGGGCCTTTGCGCGGGGTCGATGACCTGGGGGGGACCCACTTTCCCTGAGGTTTCTAGATGGAAATACTCAGGTATTTCCCATGAGCCAAATCTAGAGGTTTCAAACGGAAATCCAGTGAAGTGAAATACAGTGCTAATACAAGGTCGAAGAGAACAGGGTGGGAGGAGAAATGAAAATTTTAAGGATGAAAAGCTGAAACTGGGCGGGTAACATGTAGCTGCCCACGGGCCTGAGGACGAGGGGCCCACCGGTTCTTGGGCATCAGTCAGCGGTTCCAGGGGGTGATTTACGCCTGTGAGACTGATAAATGACCCTCCTCCAGAACTGCCACATTTGGGTATGTCCCTTGAGTGCATCTTATGTATGTTAACATGTCAGCAGATCCGGGATGCTTGTTAGTGAGACTGATAAGCAAGGGCAGAGGCTGGTGGAGGGAAGGCATGTGAAGCAACGTCAGAGCTGAGGGGACGTGGCAGGGCACGGTGCCCATGGAGTGCAGGAGGCCTCCTCTTTCCTTCCACCTTGTCTCTGTGGCCCGTCCCTCCCGCCTGGGCTGACAGAGGAGCCCAGCCCCGAAACCTGGACTCATCTCCACAATCAGATGGATTCTCCACTCCAAATTCCCCTGCTGCTATTGGGCACTGAGTCACTCTTCCCACCACATTCCCCTGGCTCTCATGACCCCGTCTCTGTCTCAGGCTGGCACGTCGGATTGTACCATTCCACTGCCTAAAATGTCACTGACAACTTCCTCAACACCTGGATTATGTTGATAGATAAATAGATTAGTTCTTTTCCTCTAATTGTTCACAGAGTAAAAGCAGGTAAAATAATCTGATTTCCTCTTTAATAGGGAAAACAAAACATGGTACCCTCTGCCCTCTCTAAATGCCTAATGGACCTGCACATGGTTTCTCTGGTTTTCCTGAGATAATTTACGTGGCTTCTCTCAGTTTTCCGGAGATGGTTTACATGCTGGAAGAATGGCTCCTTCACTCGACAAATCCAAGCGAGCATAACCCAGTCACTATTCTGGAGGTGATGGAGGACGATGCTGAGGGGACCGAAAGGCAGGGCTGCTTGCCCGAAGCCACAGTGTAAGAAAGAGAACCTTTAGGTTGTGCGGGCAAAAAAGACCAGAGAAAAATGAATGGGCACTGCATTCGTCTGGATGGTTTGAGGGTTCCTGATGTTGGGCAGAGACAGACAAATTCAGAGCGAAGACAAACCATGCGCTCCCATCATGAGACCCTCAGGTACCTCGTGAGTGAAACATATCAGAAACACTGGAAATATGACATTTTCTGGACTACAGATTCCTTTCAACCTAAGTTTCCCCTTATGTGGAATTATGTCAAAAAGTCTCATATCGTTTTGTCATTTATGTCAAAGATCCACGTTAGACAACTTGAGAAGGCCCATATCTGAGCGATGTCGTGGGCGTCTGCCAGCACCCAGATGCGGGGTTCCAGTGCAGACCCTTCTGCAAACCCACCCTGGGTCCAGGCGCTCTCTCCTTTAAGAAGAGAAGCTATTAAACTTGTACGTGCATTTTACAAACAAAGGATTAAAATTTCGGCAAGGACCATTTGGCTAGTGCTTCTGGCAACACAAACTTATCAGTGAGGTTCTAGAAATGAAGGTGACTTTTCCCAAACAAATAAAAAGTAGTTGAGAAGGATCTCAAATTGGTCTAGAAAGGAATTGAAACAATCTGCTTTCCGAGAGCTGATTTGTTCACGAGCCTGAGGGAGATTTGGAAAAGTGGATATAATATCACGTCGGCACTCACATCGCGGCTCAGTCCCCTGGAGATGTCCCACAGGGACATTAAGCCAACGGGGTAGGTTATGGAAACAATCAGTGTGGCGTGAAGCATCCTACCTCGTCTTTCGTGAACTGTCAACTCAGAAATGCAACTTGGACCACTTCTAGAGAACGTGGACGCCAAGGGAGCACAGCAGAGAAAACTGGGGAAATGATGAGGATCACAGGAGGGGAAGAGTGACCGTCCTGCTTGTGGCAGAGAGCTCTATGTACAGCCGAGAGTGCGCTTCTCTGAGGTCACGACAGATGACATTTACAGAGCAAGCACGGCATGGTGACGATGTGGAAACACCGGAACCCTTGTGCACAGCTGGTGCGAATGCAAAATCGTGCAGTCACTGTGGAAAACAGTGTGGTGGTTCCTCAAAAGGTTAAACATAGAATTATCCTATGATCCAGCAATGCCCCTTCTGGGTATTTATTCACAAAAATTGGAAGCAGGGACATGAACAGATATTCGTACACCATGTTCATAGCAGCGTAATTCACAATCACTAAAAGGTGGAAACACCCCAAGTGTCCATCAACAGGTGAATGGATAAGCAAAATGTGGTAGATACATACAATGGAATATTAGTTTTAAAAAGGAAGAAAATTCTGACACATGCTCCAATATGGATGAACCTTGAAGACATTATGCTAAGTGAAATAAGCCAGACACAAAAGGACAAATACTGTAGGATTCCACTCATGAGGGAGCTAGAGGAGTCAAATCCAGAGACAGGAAGTAGGTGGTGGGTGCCAGGGGCTCGGGGAGGGGGATGGGGAGTGAGTGTTTAATGGGACAGAGTTTCAGTTTGGGAAGATGGAAAAGTTCTGGAGATGGATGGGGGCGATGGTTGCACAACAATGTGAATGTACTTAACACTACCGAACTGTATGCTTAAAAATGGTTAAGATGGCAAATTTTATGTTATGTATATTTTACTATAACGTTAAAAAAAAGGATGCATCACAGAAAAAGAGGCTATGATCATGCTGAAACAGCTTTTTAAAGAGAAAGAGAAAGGAAGAGAATGAGACAATGGCATGATCTGAAACTGAGGAAGGTGAACGTCTTTCCTGAGACGAGGATGCAGAGAGTGGCCCCCGTACTGGGTTCTCCAGCACCGCCACCCACCCACACATCAAAAGTCTGCGGCGTCCCTGAGCTCTCCTGGCTCCCGGGGAAACGGAGCAGGTGGTCGGAATTACCCCAATTGTGGATGAACAGAAATAAAGTAAACACAGAGCCTGTCACAGCGACGGTGACCTAGAAGGATTCGCAGGGCTGAGCCTTGGGAAAGGTGGGAGACGCCGTGCTCAGGAAGATAACAGCAGGGACCAGAAGCGCAGCTTCACGTTCTGCACTTGGCCTCTGGAACGATTTCGTTTTTCATCCCGTGAGCTGTCACAGCGACCACGTCGCAGGTTCTTGCACATGTTAGTCACAATGGCCACACTGTGAATCCAAATATGGGAGTAAAAAAAAATCCAATTAACACTACAGGTTCATTAGGTTACAGAAACTCAGGTGTGGAGGCGTAGAGAATGATAATCAGGGTTTGAATGGGTGACGAGAAATACATCCTAATGGGGGAAAAGGGTCAGGGCAACGCTCTGTAGGAACATGGCCGGGGCCTCCTCACTGGGTCCCCGTACAGTCTCTCCCCTCTCGGGCCTCCATCCCCTTCCTGCAGTAAGAAGGCAGTGGAAGGTCTGGGGACAGCGAAACTAGTTTTTGGACACACCTGCCACCTTGCATCCTAAAAGAATAAGGGAGGTGTGTTCTTGCCGGCTTGCCTGGAGAGGCCTGGAGCTGATTAGTGTCTGTCCCCAGAAACACCAGTGAATTTGGGCAGCTGGCACTTGTGTGACCCTTTGGGGTAGGACTCAGACCCTCCATGTGGGGAGTGGGAACGCGACGCAGGAAAGGAAGCTGCTCGGTGTGGAGGGGCATGAGGCCGGCAGGAAGCAGCGGGATGCTGGTGCCACCTGCTCTCTCTGTGGGTAACCTTGGGGTCTGCCGGGGCGGGGACATGAATCCCCACTCTGCCCCTGTGTGGTGGCAGACAGGTCACTGCTCTGAGTCTTGGTTCCTTCACGGCTGCTGTTTGTGTGTCCCAGTCCACTCCATCCTCAAGTTCCAGCACAGCCCAGAAGGGGCTCCAGTAAACACACTGAGTGTCACGTCTGCGGGTGGGACAAGGCCGGTCACGCCCCCTGGGTGGCTCCTGATGACAGTAACTGACAGACTATAGGCCTCTGCGGACCATACCACTGTTACCTCGTTATTTACCAAACAAGGGGAAGATTACAGCATCTTACAGTCTACTGTCCTGAGTGCGTTTAAGGGAGATGCAGCATGTGGGCACCACTCCATCTGAGGCGTAGACTTAGCTGTATAGACATTAACAGAGCGCCACACTATGAGCAAGATGCCGCAGCATAAGTCACAAGAAAAACGCAGCTGCGTCCTCTGAAACTTGAGGGAACATCGTTCTGAGAATAAAAACGACATGTACGGTCCTGTTGGATGAACTGACAAATTGGTAAATCCCAGAGTGCTCTGAGAAAGGCCAGCAATGACTAGGTGGCCCAGAGGGCTCTAGACGTACCACCTGCTGAAATAGGGGCTACAGAGCTGCTGAGGCATCTGCCGATGGTTCCGGAATAGCAATAGTTTTAAAGTGAGTTCTAGCATTTTCAGTGAGATTCCCCCAGGTAAGAAATTTTATGGTAAATGAACAAAACCAATTCCTCTGGCTGGTCAGTAAGAACTTGTAATTTCATGCGTGCTTTTCAAACTCCAGGTGCTAGTTCCACGTGCCATCCTGAATGTTCACTGTTGGCAAATCCCACGACATCAGCCAGAACACTTAAATCACCTAAACGTATTCTTCCCAGGTTCATGAGCTCAAAGAAACCAAAACTAACGAAGTTCAAATCAAGAAATGGCTTAGAGATAAGGAAATCTCACAAGACCCCAGTTAGACTTTTAATTTCATTTTTGCACATGAGAAAAAATTGAGTATTAAAGATAAAATGTGTAATTTTAACAGTTTCAGCTACCAAATTCAAGTGTCTCAAGGAGGTGTGTCCCCCCAACTGCATCATCCTCTGTCCCTGGGAACTGCCCTCCTCCTCCTGGAATTGGCAGGTCACAATGGGCAGGGTCCGATACTGAATTACTACAAGTTTGTTTCCCGGTGTGAAATGGCCCAACCCACTGTCAAGGTTCCAGGACTATTTTAAGTAACTATATATGTATATTTTCAGAATTAAAAGTTGAGTTCAATTTAAAGTCGTATCATAGAACTCAGCTATAGGAATGACTTAGAATTCCAAATGTCAAAGTTATTAAAATAAATGAAACCCCCAAACACCCAACTTGTCTGCTTTGCTATTATTTACAATGATGAATATTTTCAGATAGAAAAAGACATGAGAACAGTTATTCTTACTGACTTATTTTCGGAGATCCCAGCTCAGGTTCACCAAAAGCATGAGGTTGAGGATACTAGTATGTGGCTTATGTTTCCTCAAAATAATGATGATGAACCCCAGAGAACCTCTGAAGCTTTCTTAAGAGCGTTGGAAGAGGTGTGGAACACATTTAATTGAAACTCATTTGTTGAGAGCAAATGAAAGACACAGAGAAACCGCTCACAGCTATGGTAAAATCTCTCTGCCCCTCTATTGAAAACCCTGACTGGGTTACCTCTGATTTTAGAAGTTGTATTTTGGTAAACGAGGTGATATAAACTGGAAGAGAAGCTGGCATCTTTAAGAGAAGGAAGTCTACCTTGAAGGTCCTTCTCCAGGCGCTGGAGAGAGTAGTTAAAATGTATTGTCTTCAGTTTCTCTGTTACTTACTTTCTCCTAAAACCATCTTGGACTTCCTCTCTGCTGAGATAGAATGGTCCTCAGTTAATTCAACAGTTACAATGTCTAGTTGCTGATGATCTGTTGTTGCTACTGTTGTTGTTCATATTATGATTTGCAGGGGGGCATTCGAGTTTGGACTGTAGGGTGACCAAGGGTCCCCATTTGCCCAGGGCTGGGGGGTTTCGGTGCTAAGCCGGGATGGCCCTGGTGTGCAGGGTTAGGAATGGTCTGTTCTTGTCCTTGGAATAAAAGAGTCAATGGAATTCTCTTTGCTGCAGATGTAAACTTAATCCTATTTTTAAAAGAAAAATAGCATCTGATCAATTAAAGAGGTCGTATCTTGCTTGAGCTGTGAAACAGGAAAAACCCAGACAGTTTAGTAGAAAAAGTCCAGAGTACAACTTTCTGATGAGAAAAAACTGTAAAATGAGCAGACTATTGTTTAAAAGGAATTTAAAGCCTGTGGCACAAGAGACTTCAGCTTATTTAACCTCTAGCAAGCTACCAAAACTTCATAGTGCTTCTGTAACCGGGTGGGTGTTTAGTACTCAGAATTATGTACTACTAGCAATAATAATGGCTATCATTTATTGAGTGCTTACTATTTGCTGAACTCTTTACATAATAATATCCAAAATTCATTAGACAGCTATTCTGTCACTCTGCTATCCATTGCACGTGTTACATCATTTCTTCTTACAATGCCACACAGCAGGTATCCCTCTCCATTGATGAGGAAAGAAAAGTTCACGCTGGTTAAGGAATTTCACAGGCTAACAGGGCGTCAGAGGCAGAGGGGCAGAGGGGCTCAGGCAGACCTGAGCCCAGGTCTCTGGCTGAGAGCAGCTACTCTCCAATAAGTGGGAGAAAGCATTAAGTGCAAGCCTGAAAAACTCAAGGGTAGCTAAAGCACTATTTTTTAAAGGCAGTTAAAATTAGTAAGCAACCTGTTTAATTAAAATTTAAAAAATTCAATTCATATTTATCCTCCAACATATGGTGATTAGAGGTACCAGCTACTGCTCATTTTGCTGTGGTGTATTCTCAACAGTTCAAAACGGGGGGTGGGGAACGCATGCTGGGCTCCTCCTTCTTCCAGTCAGCCATGCCTTTGGGCCTGATTAAGACACTGCCATTCACGTGGGGACCCCAGATCCCACCTGGGGCCACACTGCCTAGAGAGAAATAAGCCTTGTGAGCCTGACAAACACAGTTCTCTGAGTGACACCAGGCTCCACAGTGTACTTCCAACTCTTCTCACTGACCTTCAGAGGTTCAGTTGGGAGGACATGATGGAAAGCCACTGCAGTCAGAGCCTGGTCACCATCGAGCTGTCCCCCTGGCCCCCTTTTATTGGGAAAACCTCCTGGGAAAAGGAAGACAGCCTGAGCTAATCAACAAAGGAGGCTGAGGTGGCCAGCGGATCAGTCATTCCTCACCGAGAGGAGATCAGTGTAGGGAAGACGTAGTTACAAATGTCAGAAAAATTAATCTTATAAAGTTCACGGGTTTGTAATCAGCCCAATACTTCCAGGCAGGAATTTCACGTCTGCTCATGGCCCTCCCCTAAAATATGCTGGGCCACCGCCTCCCTAGCAGGGAGACGTCTGTGAGGACATGGTTTAAAGGCTGGACCCCAGGCAAGAGGGAGGAGAGAATTCCCAACCTGGCTCACACAGCTGGCCTGGCTCAGGGTGCTGACGGCTCTCATGTAGCTCTGGTTCCGGGAGCGAAACTTCGGGGAGTTGTAGTTGGCAGATGGGTCCAGGCTGTGGCCAGTGGGCACGTCCCCTGCTGCTTGCAGGTAGCTCTGGCTGTAAGAGAAAAGAAACGAAGAGAAAAGGCGTCCTGTGAACATCCACTGAAGGGCAAAGGTGCGAGAGTTACTCGAGCCAATGCCAAGAGGCTGTCATCAAATGTCCCGCTAATGTTTGTCTTTTGACGAATCCCTGGCCTCACGTAAATACTCTTGAGGTTCACAGTTACAAATGTGAATTTCATCACAGTAATGGGGAGGCTTTTTGGAAAATTGCTTTGAAACCTGACTTTTTATGGCCAGGTAGTGGAATTAGGATCATTGCACATTAAAAAAAAAAAGTGCTGAAAGCCTGGTAACTCACAAGGCATCATAGCAAACCCGGCTCCCGAATTCAAGCCAAAAACCTGGGAGAGTCTCACAAAGCTCACGTTAGCTTTTGGCAACTTGACCCACTCAGAAAAACAGGAGAAAAAATAAAGGCTTGCCCTCAGTTTTAATTTACGCAGAGTTGTCTAGATTATGCAATAGAGGCAGACGGAATGAGCAGACTGAGAAATCAAATCCACTCGTTATCACGATGATCTTTTTCTTCCAAACTTCCCTGAAAATCAGTGTCCTCTGGTTTCCCTTCTTGCTACTTTGTGACATGTTAACATATGGGGGAAGTCTGGCAGACAGAGGCTCAGCTTGCTCAAATTTCTTGCTACTTGAACTCTTTCCTGTCAAATTTTGGTGACAATCTTTCCACAATCTAGTAAGAATTCATTTTATTTGATCAAAAACTGGAGTGATAGGGACAGAAAGGATTACTTACTCTTTTTTCCCATTTTGGATCACAATGGGACCATTACAGAGGATCGCTGCACTGGCCTGTACATAAAAATGTCTGTAAATATTTGGCTGCTGATTCGACTCCTGGGTCAGCTGGTTAAGAGAGTTCCCAATTTTCAAAGTAAACTCTTGATGTAAATTGTTTTCTCGGTGATTTACTTCTTTTTTTAAAAATGGGAGCGCAGAGAAAAAAATGAGCTCAATATAAGTTCTGGTTAAGTAAAGCCCACTTCTCATAGATCTGAAGTCATTATTCCTGCTAAAATTAATAATTAATATATTTTATATATTAATGGAATATAATTTATATTATAAAATGTCATGATAATTTTTGTTTTAAGACCAGGTGTGTAATACATTCCAGCTCCTAATTCCCTTCCTCCCACTCAAAACAGACAAAAGAAAACGGGGAAGAAATGAGCTTTAGGCCGGCTCTAATCTTGGCATGGAAAGAAGTATGAAGAACCTTGGCCCTGACTCCTCATTCTTTGCTCGCAGCTTCAGGCCTGGGATGTGGCCTGCACGGCACCAGCAGTGGGCGCTGTCCCTTCTGCTCCTCCGTGGATCCCAGGGCTGACCGCCAGCAAGACAGCAAGACAGGTTAGCAAACACCCACACACGGCCACCAGGTTGTCCCACATAGAACTGGAGGGGTCCAACGGGAGTGGATGATGCCACCAACACCTGAGACTGTCGTGTGTTGGGGCTCACGTTGGCCTGGTAAGCAGACCCTGCATGTGACACAGTCTGCCCCACTTGCACGAGTGTTTGTGTGTGTGTTCAATCCAGCCCCACGTGCAGGGCATGAGCGTCGCAGCCTCAGGTGGCTGCCCTGACCCTCAGATGCGTGGCCTCACTTCTGTCTTTGCAAAAACCTAAACTTTCTGCATCTCCCCTGTCCTTCTATGTTTCCTTGAAATCGCTGGTTTCACACTTTGCATTTCTACAAGTTAGTACTGACCTCTTATTTTCTTCCAATATAGCTCTCTTTCTGATTAATACTGCCATTGCATCATTTAATATTCTCACATGGAAGGTGCCTCCCAGGCTGAGAGTCCCTCCAAGAAGGCCCTGTGTCTTCTTCATCTCTGTATCCCCACCATTGTTAGCCCCGTGCCTGGACATCCTCAGAACATGGCAAATGACCCTTTTGGTGCTGTTGGATGGAATTCACATGTGATTTAGTATATTTTGTGATTCTATGTTTAAACTATCTATTCTAAGGCCCAATGATTCTCTTTATTCCAAAATTGAGTATGCCACGTAAAGAAAAGTTGCCATTGTAGAAAGCGAATAACATTTTTTTTTCTTTAAAAACAGACTCACAATAGTTGACATTTGCTGCATACTGTTGTGCTGGGTACCTTGTAAGCATTTTATGTTGTACTAACCCATTCATTCTTCATGGGAATCCCATAAGGTAGGGCCATTCATAATCGCACTGTGCAAACGGGGAGACTGAGGCACAGCAGTGCTGAGTCACTCTCCCAGGCTCACACAGAGCAAAGGGCAGAGCCAGACTCTGGGCCCAGGATGTCTGGCTCCAGAATTCATGCTTTTGGCCCCAAGATCACAGCTGCTGAGTCACAGACGCAAAGAGCCCAAAAGGTCCCCATCCTCTGTTACTGTCTATTTTAAATAGTTAAAAAACACCCCCATCTTCAGCCTCATTAGACTTAATAGATTTTTTTTTTATTACAATGGTTTAGCATTTTATAGTATAGTGTCCAAGGCCAGCTATCCTCATAAATCACAGAGCTGGAGACTGAAAATCAGACCCTGACACTGGGAGACGCCATCAAGGCCAGCAGCGTGAGGGCAGGGCTGCCTCCTCCCGCAGAACTCTGGCCCCGGACCCAGGCACCTCGCTCCGGGATGCTTCCTTGCTCTTCCTCAGAAACCCGTCCTTGGGATTCCCACATCATTTTAAATTCCCTTTAAGCCTCTTAGTTATTCCCTCAGCATGATAATTCCTACGTTGGCACCCAGTTGTCAGGGATGGAAACATATTCTCATGTATAGACTAGCTGGTAGCCCAGAAAACTGTAAAAGGAAACCATACAAAATTTTCTAGAATAACAGAGAAATATCTTTTTCTAGTTTTTTCCCTTTCCAGTGATGCCCTCATTGGACAGCCATATATGCATGAATGAGACTGGACATCTATTTTGGAATGCTAGGAGAGTGAAAAAGTAGTTGTACAAAAGAGAATAACAGGTTTCCTAGTATTTTCCTTTTTCCTTTCTATCTGAAAATTGTTCCAGAGTTGTTTGCTGAATCGTAGGCTCACAAACGTCTTCTGTGACTTCAGGTCATTGTAAAATCAAATTTACATAACAAAATATGTGCCTCCCTGGGCCTCTGCATTAAGGTGTTCAGATCTACATAAATAACTTGAAAATCTAGACAAAATAAACCATCCTTTTATCTTCATCACCTTAGAAAAGTGGTGAAGATTTTATGCAGGTTATATGAAGAACAAATATAAGAAAACAATTTTTTCATACTAAACGTGTTCATTCCAAATACTGGGGGCATCTTTCCATTTCTCTAAACGGAATCTGACAGGAATAGCTACATATATGAGAAACTGTCTTTCCTCCACGGCATTAAGTGGAAAAGGGAACATTCTAAACTACATTGGGGATTGAGAGATGCTCTGTGTGTGTGTGTGTGTGTGTGTGTGTGTGTGTAATATTCCTCCTACAAAATGGAAGCTAGTCTAATGTATTTCAGTACACATTTCACATAATCTCTCAATTAATTTCCTGAATTCAGAAAATGGCTTTTTTTTCCAGATTTTTCCCATATTTAGACTAAAAATGTCCGCTAAGCTATAAGTACATTCACAGGAGATGAAAACAAGCTTGTTCCCTAGTCACATGTTTTGAGTGGAAAACCATGTCAACACCTAACTGCAGGTAGAGGACATTGCTGGGTGTCCCCACGTCCCTTCCCTGAGGACCGCACCAGCTGAGACTCCGTCCTCTGGGATCTGCTCCTTCACACTCTGCACCGCCTTTGCTCTGAGCCAGTGCCAGGCAGGACGACAGTGACGTGCCACCAAGAGCTTCCTAAATGCAACACAAGGAGAAAGCAGTGGATAAGGGGCATGTGCTCAGTAAGCTGGGTGCTAGAAAGTGCTGGGAGACCTTTTTCAGAACGCAGTCATAGAAGCACTAACATAGTTCACCCTGGACCAGGCTCTGTCACTTGCCTTGAGCACCTTGACACGTACATATCTCTCCCCAGATCAGGAAAGGGACCCCACAGGGCTCACAGGCGTGCTGCCATGAGGTCCTGGAGCAGGGGTCTGAGGTCAGGACAAACCCCTCACCTTCAGTGTGACACCCACAGTGTGACAGCAAGGCCTCAGGCGTTCACCCTGAGCTGGGTGTCAGCTGGTGATAATACGCACACTCAGACCCTGAAGTCACACGGAGGACTGGGCACACAGGGACCGAGTGTAGACCCTCTCCCTGGGGACAATGCGGAACTTCCCGCCCTGTATGGAGGCTTTGCAGACAGAACAGGTAACATACATAGGCTCTGAATCAGGGCTCTTGCACCTCGCTGCAAGGCTAGGAGGGTCTTGGAAGAATCACCTCGCTCCACATATGTGGATGCACTCGGGGCAGACACGGCTCGTGTCCACAGGGTATTAGCAGAGTCCCTGAATTTTCTGTCCACTGACGGGGTTTCTCCTCACTCCCTGCACTGCCCCTTTTGTGCCTCCTTTCAATGCTCTGTTTTCCTTCCTCTGCTCCTCACGTGTTTATGATTTCACTGAACAGCAACCCCTCCGTGGAAAGGCATTCGCACCATCCCATTAACTCTGCAGATCTTTCTTGAGCAGTGTGCCAGGAACAGAGCTAGAGGCTGGAAGACAACAAGACGGATGAACACGGCTGCCAGATGAAACACAGGACACCTAGCTAAGTTCGAATTTCAGATGAACAACAAGTACTTCTTTAGTATCAGTATGCTCCCAATATTGTCCAAATATGTCCCACATGGCACATACTTATGCTAAAAAATGCACTGTTTACCTGAAATTCAAATTTAACTGGGCATCCCATGTGTTTATTTCTTAAATCTGGCAACGCTACGAATGAGGCACGTTCTCTTTCCCTGTGTTGGGGACGCATACATGAGGTGTGCAGACAGGCCAGCACGGAGGTGGCGGGGCTGCCTGGCGCGGCTGGGCCGTGGTCGGTGCTGGGG